TCTGCAGGACCGAGTTTGGACAGCCCTGCTCTAGTGCAACTGATAAAGACAGGAAAACGTTTGTTCAATCTCAGTTCATTCTTATAAACAACATATATTTCTTTATGCGGATGATATATTACTTTTTATTTCGGACCTTCAAGTTTCCATTCCACAGATTCTAGAGGTATTTGGAAAGGCTCCCCTTGCATCCAATTATCGCCCGGCTTGATATGCTTTTGTCTAGGCACTTTACCTCATGGATGTACGGGAAGGTTTTGGAGGCTACATCAAAGGGCTTAGCTGTACAGCGTTTATGGGAAAGAGATCATGAACTGGGGTAGAACATGGCAGAACATTCTCACTTCATCAAGAAATCCAAATCACCAACTGATTCATTTTAACTTTTGTCACAGAACTTATTGGACTGCACTGAAAAGACATCGTATTGACTCTTCATTCAGCCCCTTCTGCAATAACTGTTCTGATCATCAACTTGGAGCTTTTTTCACATGATGTGGGAATGTGAAAAGGTCAAAGAATTTTGGAATGCAGTATGTTCTGCCTTATCAAAAATGAATTACTATTGAATGACAATTCTGCGTTGAGCTTTTCTAAGTTGCAAAAAATGGTTTGGCTTGCCGGTTTGACATCTGCAAAAGAATTGTTAGCACAACACTGGCTCCCTCCACATACTTTGGATATGTACAAGTGGCTGATGCAACTTCAAGACATTATTATGTTGTGTATGTGGGTGAATATGGCACAACTTTCTACATTACAGACCTGGACTATAGCTGCTGAGAAGATATCCAAATATATTGCACAGAACAATGACTTGGACTTAGAATGATGTGGGTGTTTTTTTTTTTTTGTTCTTTCACTGAAATCCATGTTTCATGATCCCTGTGACTTTTACTGTTAACTCCATTATGTATTCAGTGTGCTCCCCATTGTAAAGAGACCGCAGGGTTAAGATGGGAGGGAGGGCTGGGTGATGTTGAATTGAGACGTTACTTTGCTTTCATTCTGACTTGTTTGCAAATAAAAAAAAAACAAATGTATGTGATTCTCACTTGCAAAATTAGACAAAGACAGTTTAAAGAGACAGTATGACACTCTGGTCCCCAGATATGGCTTGAGTTCCTCTAATATTAGTCTATGCAAGCATTACTAACAATGCATATTTTATGCAATCACATGCACGCCAAACTAAAGTTTACAAAGGTAATACTCACCATAATCATATATTTTATAATGCGGCTGGTGGCGACGGTGTACTCCTCTATTAACTCTGCCAGGTAATACAGGCCTGCAGCTGTAAAGACAAATAGCAAATTGAGAAAAACTACAAACAGACTGTATACGTAACACTTCACTTAAAGCCTTTATGTATAATGCATTATAAAGGTATTCATAATGTGCATTATATCTTTTCATAAATAATTGTAACTAAAGTTAAAATGCATTATAATATTTGCAGATTCCTTGTTACATCTGAAATTGGTTGTTTGTCATGTGTTTTAATGCATTATACTTTCTAAAAGCGTATCAATGTATAGATAAGTATTATAAATGTATTTTTACCGTTATTCATGGGATCCTAGAGTGCATTATAAGGTGCATTGCAAGGCTTAATTAATGCATTATACATGCTTTTGTAATGCATTATATTTAAATGCTTTAGGTAAAGTGTTACCGTGTAAGTGCATATTATGTGATCAACAAACATGCAAGACCATGACAACAAGCATCTTAATTCATTCAAATGTTTTCACAGCATATATGGATCTATCTATCTATCTATCTATCTATCTATACAGTAAACACAGGTGTATAAATACTGCTGGTTTGTCAGGTTGCCAAATTCTCAGTCACCATTATTAATACATCTGCCTATGTGGACAGAGACATTTGTACTCTTTTTACGACACTGTCCACAATCAGCATGTGCCAAACACTAAAAGAGAGTTGAAAAATAGCCATCATTCATTTGCAATAGACATTAGAGTTCATTTAAAGATGAAGTGTCAAGCCACGGATGTAACTTTCCCCGAATGGATGTCATGTAAATGGGCGGAGCAATTAGCAATCAATACAATCCTGTATTCTGCAACACCACAGTGTGAAATATAAAAACAAATGCAAGCCTGAAACACAACCAGATAATCAATTATTATGTAAAATGATTTTATCCAAAGAGATATGACCTGTGTTTTGTTTTAGCTCAGCCCACTGTTGTTCTGTTTTACATCATATTATTACAATTAATTGATAATAAACATATATTTTATAGATAATAAGGCACAGGAGTGGTGGGATTTCTTCGGTCGCGTCAGCAAAAGGAGTTAGCGGCTAACCGCGGCGACATAAAACTCACCGATAGCGAGAGTAACGAAACATATCTGCACCACCAGCGACAACCAGCTGAGTAAATAAATAAACCACATCTTTTTAAAAGGGCTAGTCGAACAAATACGGGACTGGTAAACAATAAAGGAGATATATGTCTCCGCTGCTAGGCTAACAACTGAAGTAGTCAAAGTTTCTTCTGAAGCTTCTTCAGACGTAGCGCGCAGCTGATGTGGGAGTCTGATCACAAACAGCGCCACTCAGGCTGGAGGAGGTACTGCACCGGTGAAATAACCTGAGAAACAACGCAAATCAGAGTAATGAGAATTCTGTAGCGATTCTACAAATATTAATCAAATCTGTCTGGATAGATTCCAGGCGCATTTTTAAATTAAATAAAATAAAAAAAGTATGAGAATTGTGTAGTAATTCTAGAAATATTAATCAAATTAAAAATCTTTGTAAATAGATTCCAGCTCTGCTCACTGCGAACATTTTCTGAACCAATTAGGTGCAAAATTAAATTAAATTAAATTAAATTAAATTAAATTAAATTAAATTAAATTAAATTAAATTAAATTAAATTAAATCATTAATTAAACTAAATTAATTAAATAATAATATTAAATTAAATTAAATAATTAATAATGTAGTGATTCTAAAAAAATATTAATCAAACAAGAAAATGTCCAGATAGATTCCAGCTCTGCGAATGCACCAATTAAATAAAATAAAATAAAATAAAATAAAATAAAATAAAAAAAAAATTAAATAATATAAAATAAAATAAAAATCTTTCTAGATCGATTAAAGCTCTGCTAACACACCAGTTAGCTGTGTTTATATAAAATAAAATAAATAATAATTATTATTTTTTTCCATGAGAAACAAATTCAGTCAAGTGTATAGACAGGCAGGCAGACAGACATTCAAAAAAAAAAAGGGCTTTCCAAGGACCTCACACATTTAGATTTTTTTCCCCCGGCTCTACACTTGTTTTGGTCATGCATATTACATCCACATCTACACATCTCTTCACCTTCTGCCTCACACAAACACACACACAGATGTACACACACCTAAATTAGACACCTTTCAGTTTCTGGGGAAAAACATGAATTCTTTATAGCGTTTGTTAGATGAAAAGCTCTCTTGGGTGAGAGGAATCCTTACCGAATGAAATGCTTTTTAAAAGGAGAGAGGCAAAAGTGAGCGAGAGTGGAAAATAATTGTACTCCATTTAAAATGCTTTTATCAAAGAATGGGAGTGTGGAGGTGTTAGGAGAAAAGGCTGCCCTTTTCATTCCAGGTATTTCCAGATGGACGGATAAACTCACCTAAAGGCTTTGACACTGACAGCACATACAGCGACTTAGAAATATATTCGGATACTTACCTAATATGGCTGTTTTTTTACAGTTTTTATTTAAAAAATTAATAACAATCAATAACAATTTATTTACACAGACATTATGTTAAAATTTTTTTTACCAAAAACATCATATTATTCAGCCATGGTAGCTTAAAGTCTTTTAGGTTAAGTTGGCTGTTAGCTTTACACACTGTTGCATAAGTATTTGACCCCCTTGTGTTGCAAGAGAAGGCCCATTTTTACTATTTGGATAAAAACTCCTCAGTTATTATTGCAGGAAATTGATGCAAGACAAGGGAAACGTGAAAGCATGTCTGGAGAAGAGTTACAATTTATTTTGGCATAATCCCAAATACAAGGCCAAAATAACAAAGTTATGGGTCAAAAATGACAAGATGGACTTGACTACTTTGATTAGAAGCCTGTATCTCAATCCAAATGATTGCTATCGTTGGAGTAAGTCTCACTAACCTGAACCAATTTACCAAGAATGACGCATAATTACACCTAATATATTGAGACACCTAATATTACTGCTTTTACAGTTTTCATTTTAAAAATGAGTAGTTCTCTAAAATGATCTTTTTATGCAGACAATGTTTTATGACGAAAATGACTAAAAATAGCATATTTTCCAGCTTTAGTAGCTTAAAGTCGTTTAGGTTTAATTAACTTTACATACAGTATTTGCCCCCCATGTGTTGGAAGAGATGGCCAGTTTTTACTTTTCGGACAAATGCTCCTCAGTTATTATTGCAGGAGACTGACTCTTAAATAAAGGTAAACATGAAAAAGCATCTCTGGAAAATGGCGAAACCCTATTTTGCCTTTCTCCAAATCAATAATCCCAAATTCAGAGTCAAATTGACAAGGTTGTGGATCAAAAATGCCAAGATGGACTTGATTACATTAAGCCAAAGCCTTGATCTCAGTCCAAATGAGATTCTCTGGTATTATATTAACATTGCAGTAGAAACCTGAACAACAAATCTACCAAGAATGACACACAATAAAACCCAGCAGGGTGCAATGCTGGTTTTATGAATATAAAACAATGTCACGTTAAAATTATTTTGAATTTTAATGCTTTAAAAATGTCAATGTCTGATTTGTAATTCAGCAAAACGAGAGAACCGATCAAAAGTCCAAATACTTGTGCATGTCAAGTATTCAAGAAAGTCAATCTTTTAATGGAAGAATTCACACCTCAAAAGCACAAATGTCCAACACAACAGCAAACGCAGAATGAGTGCAAAGAAAAGACAGACTGAGTATGTGCAGAAAGAATGTCTTTTATTTCTTTCATAATTCACTTTTGAATGCATGGGTCCTTGGTTTTTTCATCGCACAGTTAACAGGGTTAACACTTTATTCAGCTTCGTGACATTTACTTTAAACAAATTGAGGCATCTGGCAGAAGGAAATAGGTGTTGAAGTCATACTTAGTTCAACATCGTGTTTCTCAAAAGTGCAGAAGGTCAGACTAAAACACCCTCAAAACTCACTTTTCTTCCCATATAATGGACTCTGAAGCCTTTATGCGAGAGATTCTCTTCTCACGGTTCTGCTGAAGTCTCCGGAGCACCGGGGCGCTTCCACTCTCCCCCGCCCAGGGCGAAGAGCTCGAGACGGACACGGCTGCGGGTGGATCTGTGAGTGGGTGAGGAAACATCGACTTTAAGATGCAGCTCGCACAAACATTCATAACCAATCAATAAATGAAGAGGCTGCTTTTAAAGGGATAGTTCACCCAAAAATGAAAATGTGATGTTTATCTGCTTACCGTGTTCTACTGAAGAAACAAAGTCACCTACATCTTGGATGCCCTGGGGGTAAGCAGATAAACATCAAATTTTCATTTTTGGGTGAACTATCCCTTTAAGCGCCACTGTGAAAAAAACAATTTGGCCAATAAATCTGATAAAAAAAAAAAAAACACAAGCCACTACTAAACTACTAATCAAAAATCCTTTTTATCACAAAATGTATCTTTTTACAGTAAAAAAAAATATCTACAAATTGTAAGATAACTTCTACTGAGAAGCAAAACTGCATATTAAAACTTGTTTTCAGAGAGTGTGTTTTCAAGTTTATTTTTTAATACATTTTTTTTCAGTTACTTTAAGCATAAACCTTATATGGGCCTAATATTTTATTTCTTATTTACTTATAAACAGCTCTGCCATTTGGAGGTTTAGCCTACTAATGAACACTTAATGTAAAAATGAATACTAGATAAATTACGTTTTTTAATGTTTTGTGTCCTTTTTTTTTTAGACAAGTTAGTCAGTTAGAAAATAAAAAATGTAAAAAAAAAAAATCACACTTAAATATTGTAATTTTTATTAAATATTTTAGCAGTTTAATCCTCTTTATTTTATTTTCAGAAGGCAATTGCAGAATTTAGCAATATATATATATATATATATATATAGTAAATATAGTAAATTCCTCTCAGTATTTTTTAAGATTGTACACATTACATCTCAGGGGATAAAAGATAAATGAAATAGAATATTTGGATAAAACATAAGTGAAAATAAAGGATAAATAGGGATAAAAGAGCAATTAAAAAATCCTGGTGATTTTATAATTGTTAGATTATAATAAAAATTCAGAATTCACTGTTTTTATTTACTGTGTGCTTATTTTTCCAATAATAAACTTTAGAGCTGACCAGTTTTGTATAAGCTGAAGCACATTTAAATGCATTAGCAGTTTAAATGATGCTTTTCAGGCATTTGAAAGAGTAAAGAGAGAGATAGTATACCTTTGGGTTTGGATGGAGAAGGAGGGGTCCCCTTTTCATCCCCCATGGCCCTCCTCCTTCTCTGGAGCACCATCTGAAGCTCCGCCTCCCCAACATTACGGCTGAAGCGTTTTTTAGACTCCACCCTTCGAGGGCCAGGCCTCCTCGTGGAAACCTGAGGTGAACCAGCCAATAAAGTTACATTAATACAATAAGCCATGAGAGATCATGCATTTTACTATGGTTAAGAGGTGTTTTCCCTAAAACTACCTTAAATATGGTAAAATCACTAACCCACGACCCTATTATAAAATGGATGCAAACAGTAATATGATGAAACATACCAATGTTTAATAAAAAAATAACAGTGACAGTTAACACTAAAGACTGGAGTAATGATGTTGAAAATTCAGATTTGTGAATTTGAGAATTCACAATTTTTGACTGCATTTTCGGTCAAATAAATGCAGTCTTGACGAGCACCTTATATGAGAGTATATGTACTATGTATAGCCACCTAAATATATTTTAATGTCAACCTTGCAAGCAGCTAGTCTGAGTAATAAAAGTAATCAGTAGTCAATATTTTAAGAGATCTTATTTTACCAGCATCTCTTGCAATTCCAGAACAGCTGATTTCCGATTATCAGACCTCTGCTCCTGTAAATGTCAATAATTTCTGATTAATGATATTTTGTCATTTCTGAACAGTTGCTTTCTGAACACATAATTCGCAAGCAATGTATAAAGTAGTTAGGCACGTCACTACACACACATGAACTAGTCTCATAGTCAGATAAAATAGGAAACCTCCACATACTTTAAAATGCAACAGCAATCATGCTTGCAGGAAGACCTGAAAGACCACAATAATGTGTAATTGTAAACTAAAAACCTATATGAAATAGTGCAGTATCACTAACCTTCCATACATTTTCATCCTCTAACACAGCCTGAAATGAAAGCAAATGTCAAATATTTATTTCTGTTTAAACAGGCCTATGTCTATAAGGTGTATTTTGCTATTTCATTAAAATTGTTGTCCTACTGTGTGAATCATACGTGATGCGCACATGCTCATAGGATTTTTTCTGTCACACGTTCGATTATTTTCATACATAAAGTGTTGGCGCCTCACTGTACAATTTATGTTCAGCAAAACATGTAATAATTCACCAGTGACAGACCCACCTGTGGCGTTCTGAGAATAGGTTTGAGAATAATGCCTTTTTTGATTCTTTCCATCATTTCATCCACAGCTCTGGCCTTCATATCCTCCGTAATTGCGGGTTCTGTGAGAAGATCAACACAGTATTCATCGAGGATGGAAGAGCAGTGCTTGCGTTCTTTGATTTAACTTCAACTTTTAAATTATTGTATTGTTTCTTCCTGTCTGCAGTGTTGATTTTGCTTTTCACATAGTACAGGTCAGATGTAAGGTATGATTGTCTTACTCGCAGTTTGAGTGGCGCTGTTTTCTCCCTTCTTTCTGATCCTCAAAGCCTTTAATGGGCTAAAAAATACAATGGGTTTAATTTTAATGAACTTTTGAAGACTTTGCATGTGTAGTGTATTTTTATGGTTGGAATATCTAAACATTTAAAGGTGCTGAAGACTCACTCAGTGACAGCTGAAGATGGAGGAGGAGGTGGAGGAGGAGGAGGTGCTGGCGGCACCAGTGATGGTGGATCAGCTGGATTTTCCTTTGCCTCATTCAGCTGGATAGATTGAATGGAAGGAAGTTGCTCCATCTCTTTCAGTTTATCCTTGAGCAGCTTGACTAGTTGCGAAATAAGTGATTAAAATTGCAATCAAAATATCATTCATTTTATAACAAAATAATATTTTCATGGCTCTTTCAAAGCTGGAAACATAATGGAGATCTTAAGCATGTTTAATGTAAGCATCGGCTTATATTACTCAAACTGTCTCTATTTCTCCTAAAACATCCATAAAATCCTAAGTAAATGCAGTATAGTGCTATAAAATTAATGTAAAAAGCAGCGTTGTTCATTTGGTCTTAGAAGAGCATAATGAAAGATGTTGTATTTCGTATGGAGACTTTGATTGCAGACTTGGCCAACATGAGGTTGAGACATTGTTGAAACGTCTTTTAGATGGACATGTCCGAGATCTTTTCTCAGAAGAAAAGTCTGAGAAGCAACTCATTGAGCTGAGATCTCATGTGTGCTTTGTCTTGCCTTTAAGGGCTCTTTTATATAATATACCCCCGGTTTCACAGACAAGGCTTAAGCCTAGTCCTAGACTAAAATGTAAATCTGAGCTGTTTCAACTGAAAGAAACTTGCACTGACTGATCTTAAAACATGTCAGTGCCTTTGTTTTGTCTTAAGATGCACACCAGTAATGCTTTTTTCTAAGGCATGTTTATAAAAATTACTTAAATGTCCTTATTGAACTATGGCCTAATCCTGGCTAAGCCCTGTCTAAGAAACTGGGCCAATAAGGTCCTAACACTTTTTCAGCATCATAATCTACACTGTAAAAAAAATCCGTAAAATCTACGGTAAAAAAAATACGGTAACAACGTTTTAGGTTTTACGGTTTTAACTTAAATTTACAGTTAAATACCGTAATTTCATTAACTGATATAATGTTAATATACCAACCTATTGAAGTACTTAAAACTGTTTTGTACCTTTGTAATACACTGCTAACCACCAAATGCAGGTGGTGATGAGAAAGTCACATGATGAACCAAAGCCCATCAGAAGCAGCTTTTAAATAATAACATATATAGAAGGTGCACCGTATCGTTCACACAGACATTAAACACCATCATGGTGACACACATGAAACTGAAATAATGCAATAAACATTCATTTAACAGCATTAGGTGTAACACACAACCCTAATATACAAAACTGATAAGAAAAAACTAAGAAACATAGCTATTTCAACAAAAAAACATCAAATTTGAAATGTAACGCAGGGAATTCTGGGAATGTCAATTTACGGTTATTCACTGTTTTTTTCACTTCCAAAAACGGTATACTACTGTAAAATGTCCAATACAGTTTTTTCACCGTATATAGTAGGGGAATTTACCATTAACCATTTAACAGGTTTTTACTGTAGCATTTTTACAGTCTTTTACCGTTAACGGTCATTTATATACGGTCAGTCTTATACCGTTAACGGTCATTTTTTACAGTGTAGATTTGTATTTTTTTTTTTTAATAAGACCTACTTTCCTCCTGAAGTGCAGTTACAGATTGTTTCGAGTCTCTCAGCTGAATCTCAGTCTCGCTCCTCTCTTTCTCACTGATCTCCAGCTTTGTTCTTACTGCAGCCAGATCGGACAGAGAGTTGAGATCCTGAGCTGCTGTCTGAGACATCTGTATAGACAGATACAATTAAAGCTGATTCAAATATCACATGACGGTTGATATTTTAGGATTGTTTTCACTGAAAATCCACACGCTACCTCCACAACTAAGTAATTATTTAATTATTATAATAATTATTTAAGTGTAAACCGACACATTCACCTGGTTTTGGTAATAGAGTCGTATCTCTTCCAGAGCTTTGCAGATTTTAGTCACTTGACTCAGAGCCTGTTGTAGTTGTTTCTCATTCTCTGCATTCTGAATCTGTCTCTGGGTTTCCTGCTGTTTCACCAGCATCTGTAGGGAAAAAACAATCACTTGATCAATCAGTCTATCAATCATCCATCTATCAATACACCAAACTTCAAATCTCTCTTCAAATGTCCAAAGTTTTCAAACTACAGAAGGTCTAAATATACTTCAGAATAATTTTTTTTTTTACAAGCCAACATTCAAAGTTAATTTTAAAGACCTTTCCAACATTTTATTTTATTTGTTGAGTTAACAACAAATAAACTCAACAAACTTGAGTTAACATGTTAATTATTCATGCAGCGAATTATCAGAAAAACTTTCATTCAGCAGAACAAAACCTCAATAGAATTAGTTCAGTTTGGGAAACCAAAAATCAAACCATCCATTATCTCCCTAAAATTTTAGATAACAAGAAACGTACTTGTTGAAAAGCAGAAACGGCGAGCAGGAAAGGGAAGTGCGAGTTTGTCATGTGTCGGGCTGTTTGGACTCTCACTTCTCACCTCCATTCACTGCCCTTTCGGCTTGCAAGAAGAGCAGACCTAAACCACCAAACGCGACCCCTGCGGAGGTGCAATTACAAGGAAAAGCGCATGTGCTTGACGAGTAAATGGGTGCCTCTCTTTGTGTGATGACGGCCTGTATTTTCTCCCTTTCGAATTAGTCCGTCATTAGGCTCTCTGTGACTGGAAAAAAACACTGAACGTGAAAAAGATGAATGTGTTTTCAAAACACAGGGAAAACAGACAAACGGAAGGGGTGGCGATAAAGAATGTCATTCAAGCTGTGTGGTGTGTGGCCGCACATTCAGAATGAGTTTGAGTGGTGCGCGAACTGTCGGGGGTCCCTTTCACAGGTGAAGGCCCCCTGTTGGGACCAACCATTATGTCTGTGTCTGCAAATGGGGAACAATACACATAGCCGACAAAAAGGAAGTGTCAAACAAGGACAGGGGTTTAAAGAGCTGCCGATTTTCAAACTGCCATCTCGATTTGTGCTAATTACCGCAGGAAGAGACGAGGGATGCAAAGACAGATGCCACTTTTAAGCGGAGATGCTCATTTAGACTGAATGAACGCTAAACCTACTGGTATTAACAGAGCCAGCTGGACTGGCATGGTCAAAGAGTGTGTGTTATCTCAATCCAGTGTTTTCATTAATGCAGGTTCACAGCTGTGAGTGTGAATTGACCGGATCCAGCCCAAATCTCCCAAGGCCCTTGTACACACTTGAACCAATTGGAGACACTGCACTTCCTCCCATATTGATTCAGATATTGTCATGTTGTCAGCCAGGACATGTAGGCCTCTGAGCGAGAAGTGTGTTTTTATGTCCAGATTATTTCACTGAGCTGTTAGGTAACTATCATAAGATTATGTATCAGTATCTGTTATGTTTCTTGCAATTTTAACAATTTTTTTACTTAATGTCTTATGCCTCTGTTGATTATTTTTTTATATTTTTTTTACGTAAATCAAACTTTGAATTACCATTGAGTATGAAATGTGCTATACAAATGAACTGGTCCTTAATCTAAAAACTTGAATAAAGTCACATGTTAATGGAGTTAAGGTGCAGCCACATTTACCGGTGCTCAGCGAAATTTTGTGGCGATCAGTCCAGTCATTTCAATAGAAATAGTCCTTTTGAACATTTCCGGGTTTCTCAGCAGCAGAAGTTGTCAAAGTTGGGCAAACTTCAAGAGCGTGGGAGAGTAGCCTACCACAAATATATTTTTTGCATCCCTATTTGATCAAATAGCAAAAGAAAAACTCCACTATATTGTTTTCACGACTTTCAATCAAAGGAAAAAAATCAGAGAGACTGATAAGGGCAGTCAGAAGAGAGACTGATGTCAAATTTACCGTCCCTCCAATAGACATTGCATTAGAAACACCCTCGCATTAGTGTTAACTAGTTTTTTTGTAATTTGATGCAAAGGTGATATAATACAACGTATAGTGTTATAAATGTAGGCTACATACATAAAAAAAAAAAAACTGAAATATCAAAAACTTTCGAGGATTTATGATGCTGATGATCGCTGAGTTGAAACGTGTCATTTTGTGTAATTTCACTTGTGTTCAAGTTGAGCGCACCTTTAAATTGATTTTTAAATAGGCCACTGGTAACCGGTAAAATGTCGAGTCGTTACTGATTTTTTTCACGCAAAAAATATCAAATAATTTATCACAATAAACCTTAAAAACCACACCGCTTCATGTTAGTCGCGCGCTCTTTTGAACGGTTTAAAGGGGTCATATGATGCGATTTCAATTTTTCCTTTCTCTTTGGAGTGTTACAAGCTCTTGGTGCATAAAGAAGATCTGTAAAGTTGCAAAGACTAAAGTCTCAAATCCAAAGAGATATTCTTTATAAAAGTTAAGAGTCAGCCACGCCTACCTAAAACGCCTCGTTCTAACACGCCCCCACATGTCTACGTCACTATGTGGGAAGATTTGCATAACGCCGCCCAAATGTTCACGCAAAGAAGGAAGGCTTTACTTTTATTCTCGCTGTAGTATTGTTGTTGCCGCCGCCATGTTGTGAAGATGCTGTGTGCTTCGTCGTTCCGCAACATTTTTCTCAATAACTCATAATTATAAAGCTGTTATGGAGAGCGGTTATCACTGGGAATTATCAAAACTTTATCGTCATAAAACTTAATGTAGCCTACATGACGAAAGGCGATCGTATTTACATCCAAACAGAAATGAGTCCACACTGAACTGAGCTGAAAGTATATTGATAAACTACTCAAGGCAAGCGAATTCAGTCAGATTTACCAACTAAAGTGCTGTTTGTCTGCCTGTCACTGCATGTGGAACAGACAGACGTTCGTCAATGGGTGAGTAGTTCGCTCCATCATTATTTGCCGCTTTATATAAAACCCTATGTTGTTAAATATAGTGTATTTCCATTGTTATCTGTTGGGTTCAGTGTCTTCACCGCGGTAAACTAGGCTCTGCGTTGTGAATGAATACGAGACAGACTGTATAAAAGAGATAAACACTTAATGCTCGCAGACTAGAGTAGAAAGGCTTCAAGATATGTAACTTAGCAGTCCAATGTTTGCTTAATATCCTATTGAACTGATCCCTGCCACTTTTGATATCCCATGAACCACTGCGAGCGGTTGGTGGTTGCTTGAAAGAATAAAATGGCCTCTTAAAGGCATTTGAAAAGTAGTAAATTCATTCATAAACGTCTGTCTTTAACCTATGATTCCATTTATAGTGAAAACATAAGCATTGTAGTCATTAAATATTTGCTTAGTTATGAATAAAGCACAACACTCTAGTTTGTTTTTGATCATCAGTAGCAGAGTTTATGGTGTCTGCATGTCTGAAATCAGTTTTCTTCATACAAAAAATGTGTAATTAAGTCAGTGGTTCCCAATCCTGGTCCTGAAGGCACCCCAACACTGCACGTTTTGCATGTCTACTTAATCAAACACACCTCAGGACCGAGTTTGGATAGCCCTGCTCTACCAAGACCTGAAACTGAGAAAACTGAGTCAGAGAAAGAAGACATGAAAAATATATGGTGTTGGGGTTCCTCCAGGACCAGGTTTGGGAACCACTGAATTAAGTAACTACACTTCTTCACACACAAAACCTGTCTGTTTTTCTATGATTTGTTTCCTTTTTACTGTGCGCTCCGTATCAGATCTTTGATTCTTTTACGATCTTATGATGATTTTTAGGCACTGCAGTTAAAATGCTGTTGCTGCAAATTCCAGTTTTTCTGCATTGTATTTTGGTACTCAAATCATCTGTTGACTACTCATCATACTTTACACCTAAACTGCATGGAGTCATTGCACATGGTATTTCATAACATTGTGTTTGGCTTTGATGTTGGAAAAAAATGTAATTATTTTACGAGGTGGCAAATAATGTTTCATATGGAAACAAATAATTTTTTAGAAAAAAGCATGTGTGAATGTCCACCCCTAAACCTAACCATCAGTGGGGACGTAAGCAGATTGTACAAAAACTTAAGAATAAGATTGTTGCCATGAGATTGTGTTGGACCTCGTATGTCAGAGCGTCCCAAACTTGAACATGCTCAAACGGTTAACGTTTATGGCTTTGTTCACCCATAATACAGAACTTTTCACGGCAATGTTCTCAAGTCAGCAAACTTGAGCTGTAGCTGGTTTTGGGCATTTTTGCTACTAAACAAAAACAACTGTTACATTTGCAGATAATGCGGTGTGAGTGAAAGCACCTATTTAAAAGAGTACCTGGTGTGCAAACACTTCGGCATGCTGCCTGAGTCCTTGCTCCATTTCGAACTTCTGAGACATCTCTGTAAACTCTTCTGTAACCAGCTGGGAGACTGGAGCACGAACATACAGAGAAACTACCATGAATCTTTTGATCTGAGGGTGCTCATTAATGGTAGAATATATTCAGCTGACTCGCCTCTCTTCATTTTATTCACAGTCCTGCTCTGCTTCCTCAGAAGGGCCTCTTTCTCTCTGACCTCCAACACCAACTTATGAATAGAATAAGAGTTTGAAGTTTAATAACATTCAATGTTTTAGGATTTTAAACTACATATAATGAAAGTAGAGCACTGACGAGACCCATAAAGATCCCTATATTGAAGAAACACTGTTAATAGTTGCCATTACCATTTTGGGGCAAAGCATTAATTGTTTTGCCAGAAATTATGACCACAACTGTATGCATGTCTCATATGCAGACACTAGGCCATTATACCTTGTCCTTCAAATCTTCCTTCTCTTTCTTTAGAAGCTCCACCTGTGCAGTGAGTTGAATTTTTTCTCCAAGTAATCGGTCTACAGATGACTGTAGTTCTGTACAAAAATGACGAAAAAAAAAAAAAATGAGCCAAAATCTTCACTTTCTCTATTCGTGGACAGGTTTATAGGAATGTATATTTTTGCTTTAAAGGCTTGTGTTATTTACAAATTAGGCTACCTCTAATTTGATTCTGACTCATGAGAAGCGGATCTTCACTGTTCTCTTCCTCAGAGACCGTTTCAGAGCTGGGATCAGCCTCGGGGTCCAGGTTCAGGATAGAGAAATTTTCTGGCATTTCTGGAATCAGGGGAAGTATGGCTTGGCTTTGCCTCTTTAATGCCTTGAAATCTTTATTCACCTGTGGGTTCAAAAGTCTCAAAGATTGAGAACGGGTGGCATGATGACTTTTACCAATATCAGCCTCAATATCACTTGCCCCTTTATTTATTAATCCAATACGAACAATATACTATACAATTTTAAAGGTGAACAGTGTATGGCACCATTGGCCAGGCCCATAATCTGCCCTTGAGTTGAACTCACTCTTAAATCAAGACTCCAGCAATGCCATTGTAGAACCATTTTTGGTTCCCTAAAGAGCCTTTAAGTGTAAGCAGTTCTTAAAAGAAGCATTTTTTTCTTACTGCAAAGAATTTAAAAATCAATCATTTTAAAATGTAAAAATTAAAAATCAATTTAAAAAATCTAAAACTTTTTCCACAAAAAAATAACCTTTTGTGGAATGGAAAGTTTCCATGGATGTTAAAGGAATAGATAAACTGACAGTTTGGTAAAAATGTACACACCCTCAGGCCATCCAAGATGAGTTTGTTTCTTCATGGAAACGTAGGAGAAATGTAGCACTACATCAGTTGCTCACCAGTGGATCCTCTGCAGTGAATGGGTGCCGTCAGAATGAGGGTGGATAAAAGCTGATAAAAAATCACAATCCACAAGTAATCCACACCACTCCAGTCCATCAATTAAGGTCTTGTGAAGCAAAAGGCTGTGTATTTGTAAGAAACAAATCCATCCTTCAAGACATTTTTAACTTCAAACTGCTGCTTCCGGGTAAAATCTGAGTCCACTATTAATAATATTGCTTTTTCCAGTGAAAACGTCATCTCATCTGAATCAGGAGAGAAATATGCACAAATCAAGCACCTTTTATAAGCCAAAGTAGTCCAAAGCAGCTCTAAACAAACACGTGCTTGGATTTTAATGTGAGAGGACAACAAGGGATGGACTTTTCACTGCGGAACCGTCATTATGGATTAAGGACTTGTATTTTGGCCAGACTCAAATGATTAAAGTTAAAATGCTTTAATGGTTGATTTGTTTCTCACAAACATGTAGTTTTTCACTTCACAAGATGTTAATTGATGGACTGGCGTGGTGTGGGTTACTTGTGGATTATTGTGATGTTTTTATCAGCTGTTTGGACTTTCATTCTGACGGCACCCATTCACTGCAGAGAATCCATTGGTGCATTGGTGAGCAAGTGATGTAATGCAAAATTTCTTCAAATCTGTTATGATGAAGAAACAAACTCATCTACATCTTGGATGGCCTGAGAGAGAGAGTAAAGTTTTAGCAAATTAAAAATTTTGGGTGAACTATTCCTTTAAAGGTTCTTCATGGAACCATAGATGCCAATAAAGACTTAATTTTTTAGAGTGTTGGATTAATGACTCAGTTTGGAGAATGTCATAGCTTGTAATCAATATAGGGATGTGAAATAATCAACAGAACAAATACAAGCCGTTAGACTTGTGAGAAAAGAGAAGTGTACCTACCTTCAGTGCAAAGGACTCTGCGGTCTCCCTGCACGATCGCTCAATCTGAAACTGCATCTCTAACACATCCAGCTCCTTGAGCAGTTGAGCAGACGCTGAAAGTAGTTACATAAATCACGTTTGCACATTTTCAGTGACACTTTAAGTAGTTTGCTGCACTTATGTTGCACAGTTATTCTAAGGTTTAGCCAGTGATAGTTAAGTTTTGCAAGCCTTTCATAGTGAGACTCTTAAATGCGTTGAAATATGAGGATATTGCAATTCCAAAAGACTCCCACTAATATCTCACCCTCCTCCATCCTTGACAGCTTTTCATTCGCCTCATCTCGCTCTTTCTCCAGAATCTCGCACTGTATAGCAAATTGAACACAATATATAAAACTTCATTGCACAATAAGTGGGTGAAGCACTTAAGCAAGTTTTTTTTTTTGTTGTTGCTGCAAAAAAATCATTGCATACTAGCATAACAGGACAGATTTTGAATCATTATGTGCAACTTTATATTGTTTTTGAGGATCTCACAATTGCAAATTTATGTCTCATATTGCATCTCGTAGTTGTGACGAGGAGGCCTCCAAAGAGGTTGATTTGATTCTCTTCCATATAGCTCTTACTATTTCTATAATATGCATTAAGAATATTGTACAAAGCAGATTTTTTGCATTAGCAGATGACCAAAATGTGTGGCATTCAGTAGAACTCATTGTGTAGATGATCATATCATAAATGTTTAAAACGCTTATCAATGCATGCTGTTTTACATACTATTTTGTTTATAATGTACACTAAGAAGTGCTCTCTAATGCCATTCAGAAATTACCTCAATGTCTATTTCATCTTCTGAAGACAGGGTGTTCTCCTCTTCAGAATCTAAGAGGCAACAGCTGAAGTTTTCAGGTTGTTCATCTGTTTCATACACTATATTTACAGTATTAATAAAAGGCAGCCATGTTTTTGTATGACCATTTGTTTTTATTATCCAGTAGACTAAAAAACAATTTTGAGAGTTTGAATGTTTAGGCAAATTAAAGCGAGAAAAAAGTGAATGTATCCAACCTGAAATTCTTTCGTCTGCTTCAAGATTCCACATAATTTCTCAAGCTTCTTTTTACCATCTGCTCTTCTAGATCCCTCTGTTTCTGCGTCTGTCACTCGGGAGGAAGAACTGAAACTAACTTCAGTGTACAGCTATGCTTATTATTCTTCCCATTTTGTTACGTAAATTGATTCAAAAGTTCATTCTGCTTTGCCCTTTATGGTTAACTGAGTCAACAATGACTATTTAGAAAGGATGTGATAAAGTAACCATCATCATTTGTCGGTAGATGTGCTCAGCCCTTGTGAAAACATGGGCAGCCTTGGTTTAGTGACACAGTGTTATCTGAACAAATGATTAAAAGCAATTTTTAAGCAAAATACATTTGATGATTATTTGACTTTTGCACTTTTTTTCTGGAAAAGGTTGAATTTTACAGTGTACACTCTAAAAATGCTGGGTTAAAAACAACCCAACTTGGGTTATTTGGCAACCCAGCGCTGGGTAAATATTGGACCGAACACATGCTGGGTTATTTTGACCCAGCTTGGTTGGGTTAAACGTTTTTACCCACCATGCTAGGTTGTTTAATTTAAGTCATCTATTGTTTAAAATTATTATATTGCTGGCTTAAAATGGGCTGGGAATTAAAAGTCACAGACAGAATTACTATAGGCAACAGCAATAATCAAAAGATGAATATGTATTAAGCAAGAACACCCATGGACAAAATACAAGACGAATTTATTTGGGTGAATACAGCATAGTTTACAATATTACATACATTTAAACTAATTTAACAAGCATTTTAGAAATAAAAAAGGCACATTTAAAAGTAGCATTTTAATTTAAGTGTATTCAACCGCTCTCTGTAATCACTTTTTACCGAAACAGTGCTAATTCTCATGCTGGTGTGTGGCCGAAATCTGAGCCGGTGAAGGCATTTCACCGGCTACAGCATTTCCTGTGTTCTTCTTATACTTTGTGTCATTGCAAAATTCATATTCTTTTGACCGTCTTTTCCATTGGAAAACTGTCTCTGGTCAAACGTTGTGACCTTGAAAAGTGTATAAATGCAAAACTATGTAAAGGGCAGAGAGAAAAGTTGATGCAGTCTGGCATGTAACATTAAAAATGAACTTATTCAGTTTGTTTGGTCTTAAGAGTTATACAAAGTCAATCGAAAGGCTGCCTACACATCCAATATGCCTTGTGCATATTGACCGTACATAAAGACAGATCTAATTTAGTTTTGATCTATTCTATATAATAGCTTGCTCAGTGTTATAGAGAGATGAGCTGCAGGATTATGGATGTTGTTTCTTCATACACACTTTTTCTACAATCGGTGATCTCATATGTCTCAGTAAACAAAATCAGCTTTATCTGATGATACCAGAGCTAGTCTATAGCATTCAGCAGGCCATTGAAATATATGGACTATAGTGGATGCTTGACATTCAAAAAATGTAAAGCATTTTTTGTTAAGTATTTCACAAAGTTAACTTAATTTAATTTTGTGAGAAAAAAGTCAAGCAGCTTGTGCATATTGGGCACCCACTATAGTCTGCCTGAGAAAAGAAAAGAATTTAACTAAAACTCTTAAACTTAACTTAAAAATGTTAATGTCTTTTTTTTTTTCTTTTTTTTTTAAATAGTCAATTGCATGATGTCCTTTGGAGTGTCCATAACTGGTGTCTAGAATATTTAGAGTTAGAATAATTGAGAATAATAATTATTTTTATGCTTTATTTGCATGATCTTTAGAAGAGACTGGGATTAATTTAATATTCACTTTTAATATTACTGAGTAGTTTCAATTGAAATGCATCCAAAACTTTATTCTTGACATTCAAAACATTTTAAATATATACATAGATTTTTATAATATATATATTTTGTTACATTTCTCAAAAAGTAAAATGATTTATTTTCCTCAGGCAGAAAATGTCATATTATATTATTAAATAGTTATTATTTTAAATAGAGTGCCCATGACTAGTTTAAACATTTTAGTTTAGTTTTAGTCTAATTATTATTTTTCGATATCTATTGAAAGGATTAGTTGGTCATTATTTTTTATTAAAATAGAAGTGTCCGAGATCAAGATATAGTTCAAAAACTAGCCAGTGCAGACTGGGATTAATTTTAATATTCACTTGTAATATTACTAAGCAGTTTTAATTGAAATGCATCCAAACTTGCTTGACATTTTGTCAAAATGCCCTTTAGAAAGACTATTGTGGATGTCCAATGTGCACAAGCAGCATATGATTTAAGAATAATTGTGAGAATAATACTAAGAATAATTGATGATAATAATTGTGTTTATGCGTTATGCAGGATCTTTATAGTTGTCAGGACCATGGACTGTCTGTCATATTTTGCCCCTGTTTCTGTTCCCTTATTTGGTGATGTTCCTGTCCTCGTTTTGTTAATTAGTTTGATTAGTCATCCCATACACCTGTGTTTCCTCAATCATCCCCTGTATTTAAGTCCTAGTCTGTGCAGTCTGTCTCTGTCGGTTCTGCTTATGTTCATGTGTTTCCTGCCGTTCCCAGTGTTAGATGTACCCTGTGTTTCTTGGATTAAAGACTGTTAAGTTTATTCCTCGTCTCCATCGTTCCTCGCCATCACCAGAGGCGGACAAAGTACTCAACTCCATTACTTGAGTGAAAGTACAGATACTGCTGGTCAAATATTACTCCATTACAAGTAAAAGTTGTAAAGACAGATTTTTACTGAAGTAAAAGTACAGAAGTACTTGCTTTTAAAAGTACTTAAGTACCAAAAATAAATCTCCTTTCTTATGTCAATGCACTGTTTTATTGTATGTAATACTTCCAATACTTCTGAAGCAACTTAGAATACATTACACCTACTGAATACAGTACAGTGAAATCCTGTAAATACAGAGTGATAAGGAAGAAAAACAAATCAAACCTGCTTTAAAACCCAGCAACACAACTGTAGCTGTACAACTTTACAACAGCAACACTGCTTTAACAAAAAAGCAAAACAGCAACAGACTTATTTGACAGACATCAAAACAAACATTTTAAAAATGCTG